GGAAGGTGCGCGGGGCGCGGGGGCGCGGGCGGGGACGAAGTGCGGGCGGACCCCCCTTCCCTTCTCTTCCCGTTCCCATTCCCGCCTTTCCCGCTGCTCCCGGGCGAGCTCCGGCGGTGGCTGTTGGCGCTCTGCTCGCAGCCCAGCGCTGGGTACTGCCCGGGAGGAGGGAGCTCCCGCGGCGCTGTGGGTGCTGCTGCGAAACATGCATTTCAAATACAGACTTACTAGTTATAGTTCTTCTGTAGTGTATCTGTATAGTTCTCACAGCCAAGATGAATAACAAGGGTAGCTTAATTAGCCCCAAATTGTCTCCAGAAGTTGTTAGAACTCCAGCAGGTGCCCTGTAGGCACGCTGCTTTAAACAGCCTTTCTCTTCCTTGCTGTTACCATTGTGGGTGCACGTTCCATTTGTGAAGAAATGAATGAAGCAAGTCAGATGAGGGCTTTGCCTCTTGTGTGGCCGCAGCATTTGTTGAACTGCCTTGGGATTGTTGGACACTCCAAAAATTTGGGTCCATCAGGGATGATAAAACCAGCAAAGAATGTCATGTTGCCACATGTTTGTTGGGATAACCTGCAAGTCAGGCTTCTTTGTGGGGAAAGACCTCTAGCCTTCATATATTAATTCTTATTTTTCTATGAATCTAGGAAATGCAGAATTTTAGGTTCACACTAAAAATGAAATTGCTCAGCATGTGGAAAAACTTAGATCCTAAGATTTAGATCCTGCCCCTGACTGGGTCTTCTGTCTTCCTCCTTCCTTTTGAGTTTCTGTTTCAGTGTTGCCTAAAGAGGTTAAAACTAAAAGAATTTATCTTCGAGGTTTAATTCTCTTATTTTCATCCCCGTGGTACACTTCTCAGGGACAGTGTAAAATGGAGTTTATTTGCAACATTCTTTTTAAAAAAAACTAAAATCTAATTTGCAAGTAAAATCTATTGGGAAGCTGCTGTATTTTTGTAGAGAAGTGTAAGTCCCTTACCATGAATTGTCCAAAGAGAGGAGGAAGACAAAGTATATGCTAGATTAATGAAAGCTGTCTGTCACGTTCCTCCGTGCTGGCAGTCACAGGAAAAGTGCCCTTTAATAGAGGTGTAATGGGAAGTTGTGTAGTAGAGATCTGGTGGTGGAACGGACTGGCCAAAGGAAGTGCTTTTTCACTTCTGGGGGTTGACTGAAATTAAATACTTGCTCTTTCTGCTGTCACCCTTGAAAGTTGAGAGCGAACATCTGGGCTTATACAAAGGCAGTGAGTCTTGGCCGTTAAGCTTGTTGGTTACTGTAGAAGCGTAGAGTTTACTTATCAGACATGTGATCCCCAAATCACTTAATTGACAGAGTTGGAAAAGATCAAGAGAAGTAAATTCTGGCTTGTTAACTCTGAAGTTTGTTTGAAGGCAGTTAGATTGGACCATATTTCCCCTAGGGGAAAGGCAGAGAGGAGATGTAAAAATCTTAGAATGGGACTGGTGCTAATAGACCAGCTTGTATTTTCTGTGTTAATAATGTTTGCTGCTCTAATTCTAACGCTGTAATTAGTACATAGTCAACAATCAATGGGGGAGGAAAGTCTGGAGAACATAGCTCAAACTGAATCTGTCATCTGTATTTGTCTTGAAGTTGCACCCTAGTGATTTGAGTAGGATGATAATGTGGATTGTGGATTTGCGCCATTTTTACCTAATGTAGATGGGCTTTTTCCCCTTGGTGCTGTATTGCAGTAGTTCTCTCCTATGCAAACCCTCTAACATCTTAGAAATTTGATAAATGAGCATGTCCTCACCTGTTAATTTCCATTACACTCAGCAAACTTTTGCTGCTTGCTGTTACACAGCATTGAGCCTGCCAGTCTTTGTTTTTCCTGTCTGCATATTTGTTTTGCAAATGATGTCAGATTAGCTTTGGAAATATTGCTTGTGGGTTATTGGTGTCAGAAAGCCAGGCGCAAACACAGAACGTTGGCACACTTACAATCACTTATGTTGTTGGCTTGCCAAAGCTACAGATGCTGCAAGCTGAACTAAAATCTGATCAATGCAGAATACCTGATACAGACTTTCTATTTCTTTTAAAAAGTTATGTTCCCAAAGTTATACTGCTGATGACATGAAGCTAGTGTGGAAGCCACTTGTGTCCCTGCCTGTTTTTTCTGCCTTCTTCTTACTGGCAGGCAGCGTCTGAAGGAAACTGAACCGCAGCTTTTTCTGGCACAAGGAATTCTCTTGCATTTTCCTCCCCAGTCTCCTTCTGCAAAACCCCATTGTTTGTGGGAATTACTCCTTCATCCTCGGTTGCATGTTGATCTGCTACTGTTTGGCACTGAGTCGAGGCTCTTCCTGTTGTGATTTCATTTCCATTTTAAGGCATTTGCTGCAGCCTGTTCTGCTGTGGGAGGAGGGCTGGCTGTAACTTCCATGTGAGCCTGCTCATTCATTTGGTCAAGCAGGCTTGTGGACAAATGGGATAGTGTGCTGTTTCTGTAGGAAACACAGTGCTGTGAGAACAGCATAGATAGGATATCTGCAGTTGTTTTGGAAGGTTGGAAGAAAAAGTGGGATCTGTTATTTTTTTCTTTCTCATCCCCATAGCATTATTGAATTTCAACAGATTAGTCTGCAATTCCGTCCTCAGGGAGACAGGCATCATCTGTGGTCCAGGAGTCCCTGTGAATGATTCCACTATATATTTGCTGCTGTCTCCCTGAGGAAGTGCTGCGCTTACAAACAATAGTCTGCTGCCCTAAAGAGGCATATAAAATCGGGTGATACTTTACTGCTGCTGTACAAGCCTCCCTGGGCCTGGCTTCAAGGCTGGACTGCTCGGACAGCTGTCGGCACCACCCACACTCCGGCATACGCCTGCAACAGGCTATGAGGTGAAGCCTTAAAACGTTTCATCTTGTGGCAGAAATACTGCTGAAAATAAGATTGAGATGTTTTAAAAGCAAGAAGATAGCACAGAAGTGAAGAAGTAGAAAAGAAGTAAAAGTGTGTTTTCTCGGGGGAGGAGGGCAGATGAATGGAGAAAGCAGGATAAAAAAGAAAAGAAAAGAAATTCTGTGGTAACAACTCTTAGTGTTCGTACTCTCTATCAATTCCTGCTTTTGGTCTGTATTTCCAACGTAGTTTATTTCTGTGATTTCATTTGTAGTAACCCTGTAACACATAAATAGCTGTAATGTGATGGGCAATCATAATTCACCAAATGATATACACGTATAGGGATAATTAGTTATGTACAATTACTGTTCTGTGAATCTGTAAATATGACAGCTATAGGTAGTCTTGTACTAACTAAACCGACTAACATTTGCAGAGGTTTGCCTGCTCAGAGAATTGTGATTTCAGAGAATCACAAGCAACTCTTAAGTCTCCTAACTTCAAGTTGTTAGTATCTTTTTCTGTAGATTTATTTTCCATGTTTTTTGCTAACAGTTTGTTGTTTTTGTTGTTCCTTTTAGTCCAGTTTTCCTTAATTTGAAATCACTGCAAGAAAGAGCTGGCCTCATCTCTCACTTCCTGCATGCTCCAGTACAAATTCAGCTCTATTTCCTATTTATGCACTGCCTTTTCTTTGTTTGCTCGCATGGAGGAACCACCAGACTGCCTTTCCTATTTTGTTATAAACACATCTTTTAGAGGAAAGAGCTTTGTCGAGCTAATGGGAAGAAAGAGCAGAGGAAAATGGAAATTTAATAAAAGAGCAAACATAGTATTAATTATCTTGTGAGCTAGAAAGCTTCAAATTTGAGGAGTTTATTTACATAGCTTGATAAGGAAATTGTAAACAGGAAGCATCTTCAAGTTCTACAGTATATGGGAAGAATCTGGTGTTTTCTTCTCGTGGAGAATGCAGATAACACTCCTGTCAAAAGCCAGTGTGCAAGGACTCAGCATTTTTAAATGTTTTCCATTGTTTCATAGCTCCCTGGGAAATATGAAACCATAACACAGCTCTAAATTTTTTCCTGAGGTTTCCTGTTCTAGATTTGATAGCCTATGGCTGACTGCTGAGTTAACAGTAAGGAGCCCATGCACAACAAGTAGCTCTAGAGTTGCATTTTAAGATTGCTTTGATCCTTTTACAGATATTTCAGACAAATTGGACAATTTTGAGAGCCACATTTACTGTCAGCTGAGAGCTGGATTTTTACAGGAAAGTACTAGGAAGCTTTGAATTGTGTCAGAAGAATTTTTCAATTTGGTAGTTGATGTCTCCTGGTGAGAATTTATTGTTACCTTCCACTGAAAGTTCTCATGAATGCTGCTAAGACTGAAAGTTGCAACAAAGCCTCTCTTGTACGAGATGCATCATTTTAAAAACCTCGCCACACCAAAGATCTCGCAGTTTAAGCAAGACAAACTGCCTGCGTGTGTAGAAGGGTATCAACCCTCAGGCCCTTTTTTTCCCTGGCAGGAAATGGCTTTCCTAAATGAGATAGGAAAGATCTCTTAAATTTTCTGTGAAACATTGAAGCTTAGTTTTTGACAGATGCATGTATGTAACCTATTTCAGTAGCATTTCTGTTTAAATTCATTGCAATTGCAGTACTGAGGTGTCATCAGATTAAGTACCTGGATACATACTGCGCAGAAAAAGAGCATTCAATCTAGGATATGCTTTTTGTTTCTAAATAATCAATTTTGAAGACTTAAAATATGCCAAAACTGCAAACAAAGCTGAGAAACTGGAAAATTATGTTTATTATTCCGATATCTCAGCTCTCAATGTCACTTATGAGAGCATAAGAACATGTTGACTGAAATGAGTTCTTGCTATTTCAGGTATGTAATTCTGGGGATACCCTTGAATTATTCCTTGCTGGCCAAAAAAATCTTCAACTTTCAAAAAAACATTTTTTTTCTTTAGGTATGTGGCAGTCAGTAGAATATAGGAAGTTAGAATTTGAATATTAGCACACTCATTTTATAAAGCATGTTATTAAATAAAAGTTTATGACATTTTTAAGTCTAAAAGCAAACTTCTCTTTTCCTTGCAGATGAATGTCTGCAGGTTGCGCTTAACAGTACCACCTGATGAAGGCTCACAGCCCGAGCAAGTAACGAAGGAACCTGAGAGAAGGAAAAAAGTAAGTCTGAAGAATCAAAGTTAATTGCTGTGTAGATAAGGAGTAAATACTGCCAAGTGAAGAAGCAGAAATTAGTTATGATGGGAACCAAATCACTCTGTAAGACTGAAGTACACAGGGAAGCTTAGCAAGTCAGCTTTGAAACTAAGCTGTGGAGCTGGGGACAGCAAAATGCACGTAGACTAGAAGGGCCATAGTAGATTTGTGACATATGGCTAAGGCACTAGCTGGTTTATTTGGTATTTATGCACAGGAAGACAAGGAAATCTCTGTCGAGAGCAGGGTCTTATATTAGGGATTCTTGTACAAGAACATCGTTACCTGAAGGGGATCTTGTAGGCTTAGCACTGTGCAAGACTTGTGTCTTAATGGCTTGCCTGGGACCTGCATATTTTGCTAGATAAGTTAATTTTGGTACAGATGATGCAAAAATAAGGAATGCAAAATGAAGAATTCAAGATTGTTCTGAAGTGAAAAATGATTTAAGAGTCCAAAATACTTTTTTTTTTCTCCCTAGAAGCAAGTAGCATGCACGCAAAAAAGCAAAAACAAACAAAGCAACCCCATAAACCTTCTTTGATGCAGATCTGCCAAAAGCTGCAAGAGCTGTTTCAGTGCAGTAGATTATTTTTAACTTGTCTTAAGGCCGAAAAAGGGAAGCTGGATAGGCTCCACAACTTAACCACATTTACATGTTGATAAACCAAAACCAAACAAGAAGTTGGCTGAATTTACCAGACCTCATGTTTAAAGAGCAATTTGAAAATAGGAAGCAATACAACAATAGTATATCTTTGAAATAATTGCTTAGTGGTTCTCATAAATGAAAGTAACTGTAAAATGACACAGCCAAATATTTTAAAACAATAAAAATGCAAAATTAAGTGATCAAAATGAAGATTATTTATCAGATACTTATTCTACTGGGATCTTGTACACACTGAACTCTTCATAAATTGCTCTGGCTGTTTTAAATCTTTGAGGATCTATAAATATTAGTAAAAGGGCAGAGTAAAGAGGCCTTAGTGCAAACTAAATTTGGATCACCATTAAACTGAAATATTTCATTCTCTTCAGAGGGACTTAGTTGTGGCAATTACAGTATTTTCCCATTCCCACCACCTTCTGTTCTCTGTTGGTTTGTGCATGACTGCAGAAACCCTTGGACTGGCTGAGGGTGTATGGACCCATTGCCCTAAGAATAAGATAAGTTTATTTTTCAGGAGGATAGATGTTGACTCTTGGCTTACTCACTTTAGTGTGCTGAGTAGTGTGATGATGAGGGAGAAGTATAAATGATCAGGGCTGGGACAGCTCTTAGTCACTTTCATACATGACCTTTTCTGTTTGTTCATGGAATCTTATTTTTAATGAGAGCTGATTTCCCCCTTAATATGAGTCGAGGCAAGTGTATTTTCTTTCAGAGAGTATTAGGGAGGAGGTATGAAGGCACAGTGCATTGTTTGGCTCATTTCTATTTCAATACATTATACATATTTGAATAGATTGGTCCTTTTTAGTTGAGACCCCATAAGATTTTGTGTAATTTAATTACTGTATGTTCTTACTCATTTTCTAAAGCTCGATATTTTCCCAAAATTTGAAGGTGAAGATTTTTAGGAAGTATATAGAAAGATCTCAGAGCTAGATGGTATCTGATTAGTCTAACAGTAGTTAAAAAACACATGTATTAATTGTGCCATTGACTTTTTTCCCACAGCCTATGCGTAATCGGGAAAGTATCCCTGCAGATTGTGTAGCCATAACATATAGAAGCAGCTACAAAAAAATCACTGATCGTGAACTACTTTTTCTTCAGTCTCTAAAACAAGGCAGTAATTTATTGCTGGTAGATTTTTATTACCTCTGTAATGTATTGCTTTATGTATTTGGATTAGTTACTATGTAACCTCTAGTGCACAAAGCACTATTATTTAGTCAGATGTGATGCATTTTCTGAAGTTTGCAGTAAGATAAATGTATCTCCTATAGGAGTGATCCAGTGTCTCTGATGATCCACCCATGTTCAACTGATCTGATCTTTAGTGTTAATGAAATTCCTTAAAGTACTCTGAGAGGAAAAAAATTCTATAAATGTTAGATAATCCTTGAACACCTCTATGAGAACCATATCTCTTTTCTGAACAGGGACAGTAAAAAGAGATTAGGGAATCAGGCCCTTTCCTGCCCTGCACTTCACAATTTAAGGTCAGAAAGTCCAAGAACCAAATTTGCCAAGAACCAAATCGCAATCTCTTAAGGAAACCCCAGTTCTGTGGTACCTTCAAATGCTGGGTGGTAGGAGAATAAACATGACAGAAGAGCTTTTGGGAAATGTACTTGATAATTAACAAGCCCCAGTGTGGTGCACAAGGGTGGCCAGCACGTGCAAGCTTTGCTGTAGCTAGGCTGCGGGGCGCTCCCGTCCCTATCCCCAGGCACGAGCCCTGTGGTCCTGCGGACATGTTTGGTTGTCATCTTCCCTTTCTAATCTTTCATGGGAAGGAGGTGATTTTGAGCTGCCATGACGTGACATCGCAATGTTGTTCTGACTGTTTGTTGGTTTTCTGCTCATCTTCCTTGAATGGCAGCACCTCTGTGCTGAGCACTGTTAGGGGAAATTTTATTTGCAAAATCAGCTGGTGAACGGTCCAAAAGCTCTCTCTCTTACTAATACTCCCACTGCCTTGTTTTGGTGCTTGATGTCAGATCAGACACGAGTCTCAATATTTATCGATTATATGAGTAACTGTTAATGTAGCCTTTTTCATTGCAGTCCTTGTTTAGCAGAAAATGTATGCTGTGTTTCCTTAAGACTATACTAAGTATTGGACTTACCTGTATGGATAATTTTATGTATAAGATTACATTTTAACAGATTTCTTAAAATCAATGTATGCCTGTGAAATAACAAAGAAATAGCATAGGAGTTTAAATAAAGGGATAGAGTTGGGCACTTCTGTTGCAGCAAAATTGCTGCAAGGATTGACGTAGTGGGACTGCCTCTCCCTGCTCTGTGAAAGACAGGCAGATGGTTCCCAGTTAAGAGGGTGATTTCCAAAACCTCCAGGAGAGCTTCTGCTCCTGTGTGCCAGGCTGGGTTTTTATATTTGTATTTAGGCTGCAACACCCTGAAAGAAACATGAGAGCTAACATCATGGGTTGAGGTTTGTTTCTGTGCTTCTTCCAGGCTAAAAGGCTGCAGCTAAGTACCTCTGAATTGCTAGCACTGTAGCTAGAGGAGATCTGAAACCATCTCTGTGTCCCTTCAGTTAGAGATGGACAATGGGTGACAGTTGTGTGAGGGTGTTTACTTCACCAGGAAGTACAAAGGAATATTGTCCTGGTCAGATTGTATGCAAAATCAATTGCTGCGAATAACAAAGTGCTACCAGACAATTCTGTTGTCTGTGTTTGGGATTATTTTCTTTTTATCTCTAAGTACCTTCATGCAGTTCGCTGCTGTGCCTAAATTTGGAAGTGTCAGTGCAAGCTGCAGCTAGGTGTTCGAGGGCAGACTGTGGCCATATGTGTAGACAGACTTATTTTCTCTCTTTCAATTGGGCACTTGGCAAGAGAATGGAAGCAAGAAAACACTCTAGAAATTTGTCTCCCTGTCTTGTATTTGTAGCTTCCAGTAGTTTGACCGGTGTTAAGACTTAAACCAGTACAGTTATATGAATACATAACATTGCATACTTCTGTTGTGCTTTGAGTGTCTTAGTTTGATAGAACATAAACCTGGTTGGTACTCTGGCTGTGTATATCCTCAGATGCTTTATTTTTAGCACTGACTGCTTGATGTTGATGTGTGCTAATTAAGTGACTCCTTCATTAAATCCAGCACTGCAAGAAGACTGTAGGAAAAATTCCACTGATTTCTGTGACTATTGCTATATTTGCTGTATCTCATTTTCTTAGTGTATAAACATTGATGTTCTGGGGGAAGATTTCATTGATTAAATGTGACTGTGTGTGCAGTGCCTGTCCTTTCTATTTTGAGATGGGCACCTAACTTCTACATTTTAAGGAGCTTAAGTGAAATATGTTTAAAAGATACTTCTTATTTAGCATCACGAGTTTGAGAACACTCATGTGGCACACTTCCCATATTTTAATACTATTTATGTATGAAGCATCCCTAAATTTAACATGAATTTCATGAGCTGTGGAGGAATATAAAGAAACATAAATGCCTCTTCTCACAGCACAGTAACATTCCTTGGAGAGCTCAATATTATAAACTTTTCAATTTACTGGACAGGAAATATGTAACCTAAGTAACAACATTCTGGTTCTTTGTAAAACTGGTTAAAAAGTGAAACAATTGGATATTTCAGAACCCTCAAAGATTTAGCATTTGAAGAAAAGATAAAGTGTAGCTTAATTGATTTGATAATAGATTAAAATAAGAGTTTTTAGATGGTGCTGGTAAACAGATTATGTGGATTTCGGAAAATTTTACATTGTTTACTAAGTTAAATCCATATGTATACTAATCCCAGAATTGTGCTAATCATGACATTAGATGTGCTTTTCCTCAAGATAGAATACCTCTTCGGTGCTTCTGTGCTTTTGCTTCCTTTTTTTTTTTTTTTTCAGGGAGAACATACTATATTGAATCGTGAGGGTAACTGCCTTTCATTTAGGAGGGTTATGGAGATAGCTTAGGAGAAAATCTCCCCTCAGTGTTATGTATGTAATGCTAATAAAACCTCACATGATGCAGGTGCACATGCAAGACAAAAGAAAAGCTCAGCTCATATTTTGGGTCTGTTTTGTAGTGTCCCTGCTTTACATTACTTATTTGCTACTCATGCGACTTATTTGGACAGAGACATAAACAGGATGCATGGTAATTATTAAGACTTTTGCAACCTTGAGGTGTAGGCTACTGTTTTAAATATTTATTAAGTATGCAGTCCACTTTTCTTTAGTATATGCTGTATGACTGCACCAGGTACAGCACGACAGTGGCTACCGCTTGGATAAAAGCACTGGAAGCTGCTATAGTATTCGTGCCATCAAAATGGTATGTTGTTGCCCTTAACTTTTTTTCATCATAGAATTGACTTTAGGTACAAAGAAAGATTCAAAGAGAGTTCTTCAGCTCAGACTGCTATTTCCTGCTTCATCAGAAGGGTTTCTGAGCTGCGTTTGGTACAGCAGACTGCTCGGGTAAGGTCAGGCTCCAGTGCAGCCAGCAATGGGCAGCAGGAACTTTTCAATAGAATTGGCTGATATTTTGACTTTAAGCAAATTCTGGAGAAACTTTTCAGCTTCAAGCGCATTGCTTAGCTGGCTTTGGAGGATTTACTTGCTCTTAAATAGATATGTGTTAGCTTGTTTTGTTATTATCACTAAATAGGATGCCTCATTGCAGATCAGAGTGGAGACAGGCAAGGATCCTTACAAAAATACTGAGTTTAGGGGGATGTGTAAGGACTGAAGAAATCTGAGAGCTGCTGTGTATAGGTGTTGGTTCATGGAGCTTTAAATCAATTTTTAACAGGTGTTTGCCTGAGATTTGTGATACAAAGGGGAGTAAAAACAATACCTGGAATTGTAAGTAGCACATTAGACCTGGAACACTCAGCAGATGACGGCAATTTATTTAAATCTTCTGAAAGAGAAATGATAAGGGCATCTTGGGAGGGACTACTACTATTTATTGCTGTTGCATGAAAAGTATAACCAGTCTTGTTTTGTACGTACAGAATCCTACATCTGTTGTCCATGAGCTATAAATGTAATTTTGTTCATCTGTGAAGTATGCAAGTGCCCTGGGTGGTTCTCCGTCTGTAAATCTAGTAGTCTGAATCTATAGGTCTTTCCTTGAGGGATGGGGAGAAAAATCCTTCAAAGCATGCCTTAGGAATGTGTTTATCCTAATTCTAAAAATAAGGACTAGATCATAATCTTCATGCCTTGTAGACTGCACTTTAAACAATTCTGCCAATGTTTTGAGGCACAAAGGATCTCAGTAGCTACTGGTATTCACTGTTCATTTCCTAAAAAATGAATGATAGTGAATGAGGGGAATGGGTTTATAAGTTCAGAGTCTGGGGCCTCAGTGACATTTAAACCATCAAAGTGACTATTCACTTGCTTATCTGGAAGATGGAAGTATTGTAATCCCTTTATCCAGATGCAGAGGAGAAACTGAGATGAAACTACTGAAGAATCTGTGCAAATCTGGAAGCAAGCAAATTGAAAAGAAATTGAGTCATGTCCACACCTAGTTCCTGTAAAACATGCTCGTTTTCTTCACTCTCAAAATACTGGGTGTGGGGGTTTTGTTTGTACATGTCTAAAGAGCAAACCAAAACCCCTCATAATGCATAATTATGTAACTTTTGATTATTAGGCTATGAATTTTGCATATAATAACTTCAAAATGGTATCAGGTAGAGGTTACCCAGTATTTTTTTTCATTAAGTGATTTTATGGCTTTCTTTTTAAATTGTTGCTTATAGGTTTGTCATTCTTTGCCTGAAACTTTGTTTTTCAGGTGTTCC